CCGGGACCCTCTGATAGGGACAGCAGCCCAGGTAGAAGCTGCCCTCAAGCATCTCCCTCCATGAGCCAACGCAGGAGGACAGAGCTGCTGGGCCTTGGCCGTGGGTGGGAAGGAACCGTGGCCCACTTCACCTATYGGCTTCAGCCTGGGCCTCCCTGGGCATTGGTGCCATCCGAGAAGCCCTCGGGCATCCTCGGGTGTCCACACAGGGCTCCTGGTGCCCCTTGGGGACGAGGAGAGCCTGGTGCCCTCGCAATGCAGCGGCCAAGAGCCCCTCAGGTGCCTCCAGATGCTCCTGGGTGCATCTCGGTGGGCACCGATGCTGTGAGCGAACACGGGCAGCGCTTGAGAGCCGCCTGGCACCCCCGGAGCCCCGTCCCGAGCTKGCAGCAGCCCCCGGGGCGACCTCGGGCACCCAAACCCACTCAACGAGGCCGCGCTCTCGAGGAGGAGGGCCCCGGACGCACCACGTCGATGAGCTGCGCGATGGAGAGCCCGAACTTGATGATGACGACGTCGGACGTGTTGGGCACCGGGCGCGACCAGCGGTTGTAGCCGCTGAAGAGGTGCTTGAAGAGGCGCTGCTCGGCGTGCCCGGCGCCCGGCTCCGGCGCGCCGCCGCCTGCGGGGACACGGATGGGCACGGGGACGCGGCCGGGAGCCCCGCCGGCCTTGAAACGGGCAATTCAGCTCCAACGGGAGGGATGCAGGGCTTGGGAAAGGCTCCTGGACCTCATGGTCCTCGGCACGGGTGTGGGGGGTCTGCAGCCCCCCTTGGAGCCGCCCCGCTAGACTGGTCCAGTTTGCAAACTGGGGTCCCGGTGCTGGGAGAGGAGCTGGGCGCCCCGCGCTCCTGTCCTTGCTCGCGGATGAGCTCCATCAATCCCTGCCGCTGGAAAAGCACCAGGGCGGTGAGGGAGATTAATGGGGCCGGAGCGGGAGACGGGCAAGTCCCCGGGGGTCCGGGTGGGAGAGGGAGGCGAATTCCCGGGAATCGCCGAGGACGGAGCCAGGCTCCCGGAGCGGAGGTTTGTTCCCGTGCCAGCCGCGTGGGAAGGGGATGGGAATACCGCAGGGAAGGGACACGAGCCTCACCCGCCTGCAGGACGGCGAAGCAGCAGGCGGCCAGGAGCGGGATCAGCGGGCACGGCGGCTCCATGGCGCCCGCGAGGTCGCCCCGATTCCCGGGAGCGGCTCCTTGGCCGCAGCGGCGGCAGCTCCTGAGGAAGGGGAGAAGCGGGAGAGAAGGGGAGAGGGATCGTGCGGAGCCGGAGGGGGCCGGGATGGTGTCGGGGGTGCAGGGAATACCGGAGCTCGCGGTTTTGGGGGGCTCTGGCAGTGCCGAGCCCGGAGCAAAGCCCCGATCCCAGGAAAGGAGCCGCTGCAGCGCCCTCCTCCCAGCGCCCCTCCCGCCGCGCTCCAGCACCCAAAGGGGCTTCCAGGGGCCCTGGGGGGAGCGCGGGGGCCRGGGCYGCTGCCCAGGAGGGAGAAGGGCCCGTTCCGCAGCCCGGGAGGCTCCCCGGGAGCTCCGGTCCCGGCCGGGCAGCTCCGGAGCCACAGCCACCGGGACGGCTCCGCTTCTGCAGGATCTTGGCTCGAGGCGGGCAAGAACAGCATAAAATCCCCAAACTGGCTCATTTTGAGCATTCCTCTGTCCTCCCTGCCTGGGCACCCTGTCATTCCCGACGAGAAGCGTCTTCCCTAGCTGCCCAGGGCTGGGAGACGTCCTTGCTGCGTCCCCTCCCGGGAGGGTATCCCGAGCCATCCGGCTTGCTCCGAGCCAGGGAAAGCACGGATCCCGCTCCTGAGCATTGCCCAGAATGAGCTCGTTTGGCTGCACAACCGRGGCTGCGAAAGCCGGGAATCTCCATCCCGCTGGCTCCCTGGGAACAGCGGGAGCCAGCGCCCGGAGCCCTGCACGGGGGCTGCCACAGCGGGGGGATTTGGGGAGGGAAGCGGGAACTTGGTGCCAGGCTGGAAAACTTTCCCTCCGCTCTGCTCCCAGAGGCGGGGGGCGGCGCGTCCTCCCCGTGCCCCCTTCCCCATCCCCGTTACCTGCGAGGAGCCGGGATGCGGCGCGCGGAGCGCTCCGGAGAGCTCTGGTGCCGGCGGTGGCCGCGGCTCCGGCTTGTGCCGTGACGCCAGGGAGGAGGCAGGGCCCTGGCGGGGGGGGGCACGGGGGGCTGCGGGAGCCGAGCGCCCGGGATGGGCTGGGCTCGGATGGAATGGATGTGGGATCCGGGGCAGGGGCTCTGGGACTGGGGATGTCCCTGCGGCACTGGCTCCGTGGGAGCTGCTGGGTCTCGCATCCTCGGGCTGAGGAGCTGCCAAATGCACCTGGAAAACGCTGCCCTGGGAATGGGGATCTGAGGGCAGGATCCTGCATCCCTCCCTCCCCGGATCCGTGTGCGCACGGGGACGGTGCGGAGTCTGAGTCATTCCCCGCACATGGGGCGCAAATGTGGGATGGGGAGCAGCCTGGGATGGGGTCTGCAGGGCGGGAATGTGGGATGGGAATGGATACGGGAGCGGGATGAGGGCTGCGAGCTGCAAATATGGGATGGGGACCACCATGGGAGCAGGATGAGGTCTGCAGGGTGGAAACGTGGGATGGGGACTGATATGGGGTCTGTGGGGTGGAAATGTGGGGTGGGGGCTGATATGGGATGCGGATGGGGGGCACTCCTGGCACAGGGACCACACGGGACGGGGGGTTCCAGAGGGAGCGGGCGCCGGCGAGCTGGGGTGAAGCCGGAGCGTTCCCAGGGGCCGCGCGCTCCTTCCTGCGCCGCCGAGCGCTGCGCCCTTCCTGCTCATCACATCCCGCCAGGGCGGCAATTGCGGCTCCCGCGGGACCCGCTGCGTCGCTCCCTTCCTTCCGGCAGCGGCTGGAAAGTGCCAGGGCTGCCATGCCCTGGATGCAGCCGCGGGAAGGGCTGCAATGAGCTGGCGCGGTCTCAGCCAGCGTTTGGCCTTCCAAGAACTGATATCCTGGGACAGGATAAGAAGGAAACACGGCCTGGGGTCCACGTGGACGCTCGCTGTGCACGAGGGTGTGTGTGTGCATGCAC